ATTGACGGCGTCCACTCAAAGAGGTGATTGTTGATCTAGAAATTCGACAAGATAATATTCGAATTGGCATTGTAATATCAAATATAATATGAAGTAAGGCATATCACAATTGGATAGAGGCCACGACTAGGATAGGATGATCAATCATCCACTAGGAAAAAGAGAATGGATTCCATCACTTCTATCACCTCCAAAGCGATGACGGATGTGCAAGAAGGATCGGTATGTAGGTAAGTACACTTCTCCACCATGCCCTACCGTTCGGGAAGGATTTAGTAAGTCTAGAACTTCAACAAGCTCTAGCGGATATCAAATAGTTCGGTTAGCTATCGCTACGTTGCTGCTTAGCCGGGCGACGGCGACGGAGTCTAGGTTGAACTTCATGCAGGTCATGTCACTACTAGCTCCGGCGGGTAGGCGGGATAAATAACAAGGAAAATCCACCGTGCGGCCGTGATAGTCCGAAGTAACGGCCCATCTCGGATTTGTTTATCAGTATCGCTATCTTGGTGGGATGGTGGCCCCATGTACCTTAGGAGGTACCTATGCTGGCAGCCCTACTGCAGAAGAAAGAAAGAGGGGGAAAATTGAGAAGTAGGAATTTTGAGTTGAACCTGGTCAAAGTGCAGTAAAGTGGAGGAAAAAGTTGGATCCGCGGCCGGGAAAATCCCGGATAGCGCTTAATACCATAGTGCATGCATTAGCGTTATGCATAACCTAGGTATGCAATAACCGACATGGGACGTCCTAACCTCTGAATGGTCCGGAGGATCAGCCTTAATCACATGACTCTCCTTGGCACAGCGCGTCGATGCAAAGCAACAAAAATCGCAGATGCAAGTTCGGTGATCACGCACCAAGAAAAACCATGAAGAACCTGGAAGAATTCTTGATTCCTCTTTGGAATCCACTACCAAACCTACGTTTACACGAGCTAACTCTCCACCAAGATCCTTCCTAGATTGGAACTTTCCACTACCCATCGGTTCCCGCCCTTCCTTTCAAAGCAAGGGTGGACACTGATGGTAGTTTATTCCTCTCTTAGGAAGTTCGATAACTCGGCTAACAAGTCTTGTGTGGGTCTTATTGCAGTATATAGCGCGGTTCTGGCGCTTATTAGTCCTTGTAAATCCATCCAAATGTTATGAGCAGACGATCTCGACTGTAGTAAATTGTCCCGTGGACGAAGAATATGTACGTAGGGTATCAACAAGCGCGTATCGACATAGGCTAACAAGTCGAAGCGCATTAACCGGGCGCCCCGATAGAACGTCATCATGACTGCAACGGGACATTCCGTAGAAGAAAGCCTCGTCACCTCGGTCACTGAGTACGTCAGGTCCTACATGTCGAATTACGACGGCTCTCATGACTTCAACCACATCAAACGTGTTGTAGGACTTGCCAAATACATCCATGATCACTCACCCGGCATAACTACGCGAGACCCGCAAGTTGTCATCTTAAGCGCCCTTCTGCACGATGTAGGAGACAAGAAATATCTCAAGCCAGGCGAAGATGCTTCAACCCTAGTATACGAGCTCCTTCTATCTCTAGGTGCAGCGGAGCAACTTGCGAACCGGGTTCAGACAGTCTGTCTAGGCGTTAGTTATTCGAGCGAGATCAAGGATCCAGCTCGGGTCCAGGATCTCATCAAATCTCACCCTGAACTAGCCGTTGTCCAGGACGCTGATCGACTCGATGCTATTGGGGCTATTGGGATCGGAAGAGTCTTTACATTTACAGGTGCTCGGACTAAAGCGTCCATGGCAGATTCCATCCAGCATTTCCACGACAAGCTACTAAAACTCGAGAGTATGATGAAGACGGACGTCGGACGAGAGCTTGCTAAAGCAAAAACCGAGAAGATGCAGGAATTCCTTAAGTGGTGGGATGAAGAAGCGGCCTTTTCTAGTGGATTACCGGCTGCAGTCTAAGAACAGCTCAACCGCTTAACTACTTGCTTCATGCTACCATTATCATCTATCTAGGTAGTTTGTATATACGCCAACCACATATTAGATTACAATTGGAAGCCTCTAATCAGAAACATCCTTACCAACCCATTTTTTTTCCTTTTTCCAACCGAGAACTCCACGTATTCATGAGTCAATCGTGAAGTGTTCTCTTCCTCGCCTTATTCCAGACCATTGCCTTTTTATGTTCACGAGTATTCAAGACATAATGGGCTATCCTGTACGTCCATAACTTCGCCTATATTCACCATTCCTCCTATGTCGCCAAAATTCATTGCAAAGTCCAGGGTGACGTTCGTATAAGGCTTTTCGCCAAAATAGTTGTACGGATATGCCCACTGTGTATCAGGACCCCCTATATCCGATCTCCTGGATTCCCAGTCTACTCCTTAGATTAGCAACAAGGATGTTCAATCCAGGTAATGCATACCTTTTCGCTGCCAGATATCCCATAGACGATCTATGGCACAATGATGAACCCAAAAGATCGGGTCGCCCGTCGAGGACCAAGTGTTCGCCATCTAAGTAATATACGATAAGTCATATGAAGAGAGATATCGATTGTGGCTTTCTTACGTCGCCAAGCATGCCCCCGATACCTAGGTGTCCACCACTGTGGACTGACACTCCCTCAACGCCAAGGGTGAGACCCTCGGTCCGGTGTTCGAATTCGAAATAGCTACTTGCATCCAAGACAAAATTGGCCGTATCAGTGTTTAGTGTTCGCAACATCAACCAAAGGCTGAAGTCTCGTCGAATACAACGAGGGGTGTATTCGGTATGCCTCCCAGGTCCCATCGATGCGTTGGTTTCGGCAAATGGCCCATTCGTAAGACATCCTTGAATAATTCTATTAAATCAACGGCTTTAAAGATGTGTGTATGCTCAAAGACGAAATAACTCACCGCCTCCTGACCTTCCAGGTATATCTATGTCTGTTACCCATTCGTCCGGAAAATTACTAATGTCCTCTATGTAATCGCCGTTGCCTTATGTTCGCTCAGCATATCTTCTCCAAGGGATCTTGAGGCTTTATATTTTACCTCCAAACCCGTATTCGGGGTCGAAAATCGGTGAGCCTAAAAGTGAAGCCTCGTCAACGGCATCTTGTGTCCAGTCTATTGCTCTTATTCATCAGCCATCTATCTTCCTCTACGGTGAAGATTTATGGCACGGACCCCAGTATCTTCACAAGTTAACAAGCCCGTATTCAATCTATCTGATAGGGGAATACCTACGGTACAGAGCCCTCGTATGAACATTCGTTTCGAAGAGCCTGTTCAAATAGCCATAGGAAGTATCGGTGCCATCTGATCACGTTAATGATACATAGGAGCCGCCATGGGGAGGCAGCAAGTCTTACGGTAAGAAATGTCCCTTAGAGTCTATTAATGCCCCGCTTTAAACATAATAATTAAGACGAGGACTCACGACCCAATGGATGTAGTCTGCTTGGCTAATATGCAATGCTACGAAGTCATCGTATCGAGATTTAACCCCAGCGAACGTGCTAGATGTCTCCCCTGACTTAGACTGAAGGCATCTTACAGCCGATATGAAGTCCAGTCTCTGGTCTTGCGATAGTGTTCTCCTTTTAGATTACCACCTAGTTAGCCAATGGTCTACTAGTATGTCCGTCCCGTTACGATTAGCAAAGATAATGGACGGCTAGACAGACCATTCGTTCCTAACATAAGACGTCTCGCACGATTCGTCAGATCGTCTCGATCGTATTCGGCCTGAGACCATATTTATGATCATTAAAAAGATAGAAATGAATGAAGTAAGGGTTAGCATGGTGTTACGATCTGCAGGTAGACAATTTGGGAATGATGAGCACCCGGCATCTTGGGAATTAGGGGGAAAAAACCACCCTATATAAACCATCACACCTGAACTAGACCATAAAAGTCACTTCACGGGTGCGCGGCGCTCTGCACTGACCTCCTAGAGATACGCTTATGCTGAATTCTAGATTAAGATAAAATTTATACAGTAACGCAAGGGATATCTGAGCGAACAATCCCAAACACTAGCTGAGCTAGAATGACTAACTAGCGACGAATAAGCAAAATATGTACGGCTCTATGGACAAAGCCTTAACGGAACCTGTGTTTTCATAGCATGTATCGACACATGAGTACCTATGCGGGGAAGCGTATCTAATATATCTCTTCCAACCAGCAGCCCTTGACCCATCGCCTACTCCAGGCTTGCGAGAATAATATGTTGTACGTCTATGACCAGGGTAACGAACCCGATAGGCTGTTTCCTACAACGACTAGTCATATGTAGTAATCTCCACCTACAGACGCGGCACATATTAGTCCTCACTAGAAACTTTGGTATCCGGACTTATACTAATGTTTCAATCTGTAACCTAAGAGGTCAAAGATCTATAGTACGAGACGGTGCCATCAAAATATAGATACGTTTCAAGAAGGCTTACCAAGGCCGAGGTTTCAGATCCTTAAAACCCGAAAGACAGAGCGCCCCGAAACTCCCTGTGACAGCTTGAAGGGGCCCCTTTGTGATAGACGGACTAGCTTCAACTAACACACATCGCCCCTTGCCAAAAGCAAATTCTCCCTGCCGAATGCTAGGACCCTCGATCCACCTACCACGAGGTCGCCATGTCGATCCGAACCTAGCACGCCTCGTGGTGTTCCACACACAGACCACCTGGTCCAAGGCGCCGGGTCGGTTTTCTCGGACATAATGACAGCGGGCCAGACTATCGCTAACAAACAAAATGCAACTAGCAAACGGAATTAGTCGACCCCTTGGAATGCTCCGTCCAGGGGAACGAGGGGCGAGCTGTAGCCGTATTTAGACGTAACGCAAGCCCCTTCAACTAGTAGTCAGGAGAGATGGGATCGCCTTTGCATCCTAGCATACTATATAGGCAACGAAGGTGCTTGCTCCCTACCTGGCTTCGGGTCGAAGCCTTACTTTCTATGTAGTCACTCTCTTTTAGGCGGCTCTGGGCAAAGGACACTCGCTCGCTACGCTCTACGGCCCGAGATGGAGTCTAGAGGCATTCCGGACCCTCACGGTAAGGCGGAGATCGGTGTCAATGGGTGGCTGATTGGGTTCTCGACTATATTCTACGCGATTAGAATTTTCGTTCGCATATCGATCACGAAATCCCTCGGCCTCGACGACGCGCTCGCGGGTATTGCCTATGTAAGCCCTACTGTCTTATTAACGACTACTGGCTGGGCGGCTTTGAGGAATGCCTGCTAATTGATTGGGTTAGATGCTGCTTGTCGTGCAATCTGGGATGGATATTAATGGTATGTCTTTTGCGCATGATGACACGGTACTGGACTACGATGCTAATGGTGCTTGGAAGCTGAGTTCCTTGGTAGGGACATACAATTGGGCACTGCATCGGAGGAAGTCAAGGCCGGATTCTTCGAGGTGTGTCTTTCTGTTTATACAGAGTTGCCATATCATGTTTCTTAATGCTAATCGATTTCTAGTCGTTGACGGTTCAGACACTCGTCTACTTTTGGACCGTTGCTATTGTGAGGTTTGCAATTCTTGCTTTCTTGCCTCGAATTATCCGAGATAGTAAGTTTTTCGAACCGTGACTCATGAATATATTGTCCAGTACTAAAACTATAGCGTCTAGGGAATATCAGCATAATCTCATGGGCTGCTGCGTTAGTAATTCTCGCTCAAACAATGGGCGCTTTTTTATACAGAATCTTCGAGTGTGACCCGATTTCGTAGGTCGCATGTTTAAATCTTTAAGACTCGTCTAGCTAAATACTAACGTGCCAGTGCAGGGATATCACCAAGTCTCCGACGACGAAAGGGCTTAATTGTGTCGACCCCAATATCCATAACAGTATGATGGTAGCACACGGCATAGTGGGCGTTGTTATAGACGCAGTTCTCCTTATACTGCCTATCTGGATGATATGTACCAATATGTTGTGGTCCAAGAAGATGATTCAGATTATATTGGTTTTTAGTGTCGGACTGTCCGCGGTAGTTATAGGGGCTGTGCGTGTGGTCATAATATCGAAGCTGGACTTCTCTAAAGCTACGTACGTTGTACCCTTTCCCCGAACTACACTCCCTATCCCATATCACCGTTTCTCAAAGCTAATACCGCCTGGCCTACAGAACTTATAATATTCCCTCCCTAGGAATCTGGACAAACCTCGAGAGCCATATCGGCTTATGGTGCGGCTGCTTCCCTGCTTTACAGGCAGTCTTGCGAATTGGGCGTTTTGCGTCCAACAGATTTAATGTTGTCAGTACGGCAAGCAGAAACGGTAATCAGAGCGGAAGGTTAACTGGAAGTAATGGGGTGAATAAAGTCTATGGAAGAGAGGGGGAGAGTCGTACCGCGGTGGACAGTGAAAGCCAATGTGCGATCGTATTATTAGAAATGGATAAATTGAAGATGACAACACGAGATGGAGATGCATCTATTGTATGATATATCTTTTGGCGTGTTTGGAACCTCGAGGTCTAGGGGCGTAAGGGGAGGCAGAAAACATTACTGGTATTATATTTTATTTATCTTTCTATCCTTCTATCCTTCCAACCCAATATTCCCTTTGTAATAATACCTAAGACCCAATAGACCTGGATGTCTGGGTTAATTTTCTAGGTTAATACCTACCTAATATGAGCTGAATAATGCCCAGCCAGTAAATAGGGTATATATATATTTAATTAATTAATTATGTCGTACCTAAGGCCAACAAGACGGTACCTTGCATTAGATCATCCCAAGACATTTTTATCGTTCACGGCCGCCAGTAATTGCAAAGCTACCCCTAACCACTCAAGTGACATCAACTCCGGAACTCGTCGTTTTCGCCTTTCGCCAAGGCCACGTTGGCCATATTAGCCATATTCTTGAGGCGCTATCATCATCATAGTTCGTTGGCTAACCCGATTGTGATACGATGTAACCATATCCTGCAGGCTATCTCACTCGTCCGGTTACCTCTTCTCTATATGACGGACTATCTGTTGGTGCCACCAATCCCCAAAATCTCACTGCGCATCTAGCCCAATGGGCTTCCGCACAGATGAGAAGAAATCTGCAGAACCTGTGTGGGCAGGTCGCCGATAGGTAGGCTAGCTTCGATTTTCGTATTCTACAGTCCAGCTCGGATTGATCAAATGTTGTGATCGCTGCTGACTTTTCTCTTTGTCCGTCGTGTCTGCTGTACATATTGCCGTGAAAGGTATTGAAATAAACTTCTTCTCGCTCTTGACGATTAAATTATCCAGGCAGTGGTTTTTTGTACACATGCGTGTATAATCGGTACAATTATATACCAATTTTACTACATGTATATTCGATCATAGGTTTACACGGCTGGCTGTCGTTCTGACAGCCGTCTATCTTACACAATGACGCCCCATAATGATCCTACCATCACCGCCACCGCCATGCTGCTCATCGCAGCCCTCGTTACTACCGTCGGTGCGGCCGCCTACGAGAACTTAGCTATACTAAACCATGCGGCTCTATTCCCTCAATCCACCGGTGTCTACAACCCCGGCCTCGGACCCCGCCAATTCGTAGACGGCATGCCCGCGATCCCCGCGTTGCCGCTGTTTCCCGGCAATGCCAAGCGTCAGGATCAGGTCGCGCAATGCTCGACAGGCAACCACAACTGTCTAGAGCTCGGCCCCATAGGTGCGCTGTGGTGTTGCAGCAACGACAACTACTGTTTCCTGGATCAGAACTGGGAGCCAAAATGCTGCGGCCTGGGAGTGTCGTGCGGCTCGCCGTGCGCTGAAGACTTGTTATATTGCAACGGCACCGCAACCGTAGCTACGACAGTCGCAACATCGCCCACGACGACTGTCTTGGAGCAGACTAGCGTAACCCCTGCGTGCTGCGGACGAGCATGCGGCAGCACTTCCTTCCTCTGCCAGGGGGGCTTTGGCGGCCAGTGTTGCCCGTTCGGGGCGAGCTGCGGCTCCGACAGTAAATGCTTATACCCTCCTACATCATCTAAATCTCAAATTACTCCCGTCTCATCAGGCTGCATCGCCTGTTCCACAGGCGGCGGGTGTTGCGATGTTGGCAGCACCTGCACATCAAGCTTAGTCTCTGCAACGTCGACGGCGCAACTCTGCGCAGCTAACCTGACCGTTGTTAGCAACAACGAGGGGCTCTCGGAGGGTGCCAGAGTTGGTATAGGGGTCGGTGTCGCCGTAGGCGCATCGCTTATCATCGGCGGCGTGACATGGTTCTGGATTCACCGCCGGCGCGTGTCTAAATCGCGCCGCGACGGTGGGACGCTGGTGGGATCCGGGCGTGACGAGCTGGATCTTACGGGACCCTTTATCCCTCCAGGTGCTGCCATGTCAGATATAACGAGCCCGTCAAGTAGGACGGGCATGAGGCCACGGCTGCACGAAGACGGGCTTGCGTACCCCTATTTTGGAGCTGATGCCGTCCCCGGGCCTTATACGGAGCGCGAGGATAACAGCACCCCCAGCAGGGCTCAAGGCATCGAGTCCAGGTCAAGTCCCGGGTTCCCTGACCAAACCGCAAGGGCTGCTAACCGTTACCCGGACGCTCCGGGGGATATCGTCCGGCCGGTTGAGCTTGCTTCGCAGAGGGAAACGCAGGTGGAACTAGGTGACGACGGATCGAGTATTTCAGAAAATGTTTCTGTTGCGGGTGGTGCTGCGGCGGCCAAAGAAGAGAAACAGGAGGCGTATGAGCTTTATGGGAGTCCCGTAACCTCACCAGTACCGACGACTTTTGAAGAAGCAGAGCGGCATAGAGCTCAGGAGCCCTCTCCGCCGGTCCCAAGTCAGAAAGCAGAGAAGAGTGGGCATGAATGAGTAATTGATGAAATATGATGGACGTTTGGTATATTACCCCTAATCCTAACTGTAACGAGTATCTAACATATGAACTTAATCTGAATGAATACGACTGGATACCCTTCAGTCTGCGGACAAACGCCTCACCTTACCTTCCTTACCTTTACCCCTAACGCCGAGCGTAAACACTGTGCGATTGCACTAGACATTACCATCGTCTGCCTTTCACGTATTCCACTGTCCTAACCAAATTTCCCTAGCAAAAAGAGAACCGGGTCAAGTACCCTCCAACTTAGTACGGTAGATCACTCCTTAACTCCCTAAAAATTGAAGCATTTTGCAACGTAATAGCAATTTGATAGCTTGAAACGAGGCCCAAGTTTTGCGCTACATCACAACACCCCCAAAAGGCGTGTTCTGTCGCAAGTCCTCCACAAGCTCTTGTACGCTGCTCAGATGACGACCAAGCAGCGCCTGCTTCTCCTCTTGAGTCCTAGTCTCGCCATCTCCCGCAGACTTAGGGCGCGCGCCGTCCGCTGCCCCCCTTCCCGCACCAGTAAACGCAAAGGCCTTTGCAAGCTTACTAGGGCTGCGTTGGAGCAAGGGTGGGACGCCGAGGTCCTGGGCAGCGCGGGCGCTAGGGATGGAGGGGACCTCGGGCATGAGGTAGAAGTACAAGAACTCGACGAGCTTGAGCTTGACGTCGCGGCTCGTGCACCGGTTGCGGAAGAGGGAGGTTATGGTTAGCAGGCCGTCGAGGGTTTCGAATGTACGCGTGTTGCGCGGCGCATCGACGAGGGCGGTGACTAGGGTTACGACGGTGGCGGATTGGATTGCTGGGCAAAAGTCTGGCTCGAGGAGGTCGAGGAGGAGCTGTCGGGAAGGGTTATAGGTTAGCATTGAGGTAACCAAGTAAAATAAGGGTACCTAGGTAGACATACGTTCATGTGCATCTCGCGCGAGAAGATGGCCTTGCTCGGCGGGTGTAGCAACATGACACCTTGAACTAAATCTAGTGCGCTTAGTATTAGGAGGTCGTTAGAGCCGTCGTTACCCCTGGCTAGGAGGCGGTCGAGGGTATTAACCAGGCGCATAGCGACGTTCCATTCGAATCCCTCCTGCAGTTTGAAGAATTCGTAAAAAGCCGGATCGTCGGTGATTTCATCGAGGGTCTTCGGGGGAAGCGGTTCCTGCTCATCTTGCTGCTGCGTAATGACAGAACCGCGGCGTTCTTTACCCTGCGACCGCGACAGGCAAATATTCGCTAGTAGACCCTCGACCTGGCGTAGACCCTTGCGGATCTTAAGGCTATCGTAAGATGAGAGATTGTCGAACGCGAGGGATAGGAGGTTCTCCATTTTTTAGGGTTGCTTGTGCTTCTGGTGGCTGCAGTAGCTTTCGGTAAAATAAGATGACGAGGCTACCTATTAGACTGGGTATGAATATGATGAATATGATGAATGCGATGCGACAAGATGCGAAATAAGAGATAAGAGTCGAGGTCAAAGAGGAATAATAATAAAAATATGCCAAAGTTGGTTTTCAGTTACGGCGGTAGACTGTTAATACAATAGGACGAAGAGAATTATTGGGGGCATCGCATTGGAATGATCTCCTAACCTCAAAAATCAAAAAAAGAGGGAAAAGAACCAACATGCAAGGCTGGGTAACTCGTTTTTGGATCAGTGATTCTTCATACCGTATGATAAGTGCTACTTACAAGGGTTTGTCAAGTGTTTAAGTGGGGAACTCCTTGTTAACATAGCAACGACGGTAGTTTCGGCAGCCGTCTTGCCATCCAGCTAGCCAACTATCCCTGCCCTAGTCTTAATTAAGTGCATTTGGGTCGCTCTTCCTTAGGGCTAGCTACCACCTATTAGCATGCATGTAACATGCCTTACAGAGAGAGAGGTACATGTATGTAATGTCATTGAAGCAATAAGGGTCTTTTTATAACAACATTTAAGTACCTAGGATAGAATTTGGCTGCATTTAAATCAATCACATATCACACGCATTAAAAGCTGTTCATTTCCTGGCCAGATGTTCATGATGTAAGTCTAAGACAATTGCAAACGTACATGTAGGAGCTCCGTACGGCGTAGTACCTAATGTACCTAACGTACCTAATGTCAACTGATAAGGTACAATATCGATACCGGACCAGAGGTTGGGGATGGCAGGCGATGCGGGGTAAATATGACTGACATATTTGAGATTCGCAAATATGGTTGAGTACCATACCTGTACCTTTTTTTCATCACACATGTAATTGTTACCTTATATCTCACCACATGTGAAAATGGTAACGGTGAGCTTCAACCTCGAATGACCGCCGGACTAGTAAAGAAGTTAATCCAAATTTCTTTTTTGTCTCTTTATTGGCATTATTTCCGCAATTATCCCTGAAGGTCTCATTTATAAATCCTACTTTCCTACTTAAAGGTCACATATCTGCCATGTCTATCTGTTTCGGCTAGCCGCGCAATCCATCACTGCGCCTCAACTCTGCTGATCGCTGTTTGTAATTGCCGTCGCCTGAATCTAGGACTATCGATAATCAATGATCAATAACCTAATACTAGACAGCCTGTCGCATAGGTATTTCTGCTTATTTTTATATTTCGATACTACCCACTATCACATGATAATTATTATTTCTAAAAGTCGGCGAATAAAGAAAAACTACCTAACCTAATTGGTTTGATTTGCGCCGCATCCCACTCGGCACGTCCCCACATATTCCCCGTTAGCCCCGTCCACTTATAGTTTGCGCCGGCGAAGAGCTAGGCAACTATAAATCCAGCTGCCTTTTTACACAACTGCTTCGCCATTAGGAAACTTACTTAATAAACTTATAGGAACTTTCTCTTCTAAGAAGAGGGGACCTTCTAACTTGAAACCATGGTTCCTAATGCCAACAGTAGCAGTCCTGTATCTAACAGCTCTGTGTCATTGCAATCGCCCAATGCCATCCCTCCTAGGACTTCCTCTACGGGATACATTACTCCCCTTCCACCCGTCAAATCTGTTCTACGTCCTGTTCCGGAATCTGACTGGTTAGGTCAGAATAGCAACCGTCATCAAAGAGGCTTCTCCAATTTTGCTGTTCCTATCACAGGCATGCATGCTACTGGCCCTCAAGACCCTGCGCGCTATGAGACGGAGGACTTGAACTACACTTCGCGGAAAACCTGGACAGAGCAAAAGGAAAAGGTACTAATGGGCCCCTTCGACTACCTGTTTGCTCATCCCGGGAAAGACTTCCGTACCCTCATGGTCAATTCCTTCAATGCATTGCTAGAGGTACCACAAGAAAGCCTCGATGTCATCACTAAAGTTGTTGGTATGCTACATACCGCATCCCTACTTGTCGATGACGTCGAGGACAGCTCGCTATTACGGAGGGGTCTTCCCGTTGCCCACAGCATTTTCGGCACGGCGCAAACCATAAACTCGGCCAATTACGTCTACTTCTGCGCCTTACAAGAACTACAGAAACTGAAGAATCCGAAGGCTGTTAGTGTGTATACCGAAGAATTGCTGAACCTCCACCGCGGTCAAGGGTTAGATCTCTTCTGGCGTGATACGCTTACTTGCCCTACCGAGGAAGAGTATCTCGAGATGGTCGGAAACAAGACCGGAGGGCTCTTCCGTTTGGCTATCAAGCTCATGCAGGCCGAATCAGTCACCCCCATCGACTGTGTTCCCCTAGTCAATCTGCTCGGAATTCTTTTTCAGATCCAAGATGACTACAGGAACTTGTCGAGCCCCGAATACGGGCAGAATAAGGGGCTCTGTGAAGATCTGACCGAGGGGAAATTCTCGTTTCTGATCATCCATAGCATACGCACCAACCCGTCGAACCTCCAGCTTCTCAACATCCTTAAGCAGAGGACAACAGACGAGGAGGTGAAGCGGTATGCCGTGAAGTATATGGAGAGCACCGGAAGCTTCGAGTACACTCAAAAAGTAATAGCAATCCTAGTTGAGAGGGCGAGAAAGATGACAGAGGAGCTTGACGACGGTAGGGGGAAGAGCACCGGTATCCATAAGATCCTTGATAAGCTGGTAATATGAATGGGCGTTACGACTTGACGAGAAGATGAAAAGACGAATGTCTATTGGAATTTTGGTGGGGGCTGTATAGAGGATCTATAATTCATACCCTCCTATTAGGGTAGGGAGGTTTGCGGGAGCGAGCTCGGTGCGGCTTAGGATACCCTCATTTCCTATTTTTCAAATATATAAGAAATGTGACAATATATCCATGCTTACATTATCATGACTCTGCCCCTATGTTACTGTTAGCCTTTAAGGGCGTAAAATTTTAAATGGATTTTTGAAAGTTTTTGAGTTATAAACAATTTAATGTGAATATAAGTGAAAATAGCGTGACAAGAGCAATATTAGTATTAATACAATATTATAAAAAACGAGATATAGTAGTAGTATGTCTATATGGACCAATACCAGAAAATTTAACGAGGAGCTAAGTACCTAAACTAGGCAACTTAGGATTTCCTATAAGTGCCTAGGCTTTCCCTATCAAGAAAGTTATTGTTCTAAAACGACTCCTTTCAAGCTAAGAAGAAATATATATCAATACTCAGACCTTAACGCGTAGTTAAGACCGCCTTTCTCCTTCTACTATATCCTTTCTTTTACGATACGCCTCGAAGATACAATATATAGATATCCCATCATTTAATGCGTAACAAACCATACCAGCAATGGGAGCAAATATCTGGTTCCGCTTAAATTTCCTAGAAACGCCAATATACAATAATTTCATCAAAACACCATGCCTATATCTGCGCAGGCCCCTAGTTAACACGAACACATTGTTATAGGACCATGTTGCCATCCCAGAACAATATCCACGACAAAGAACAATGTAATCACATCGAGGCCGTATTTAACAGTCCACATCCCAGTCCATTTTAGCGCGCCAAAAACCCATTGTTCTCTAAACATATCTACCTCCCTAGGCAGCAACAGACAAAGAAACACTACGAAGTAGGCGGGCCATTAGTTAGCACCCTAAACCGAACCTAACAGCCATGTCCGGAAACCCAGCCCCACTCCTCCGCGTCCCCAACGAGATCCTCCATACGATCCTCGAGCACATAACCGAGCCACGCGATTATTTCCGTCTAGCGCGAACGTGCCGCCGCCTGTGGGGACACGAGGACCCGATATACATGTGCGTGGTGCTCGACGCGCGCATCCTCTGGGCCAACATAATCGGCAGTCCGGGATCGAGCGTTCGGCGGTGGCCCCCGCGCTACGAGCCGCTGCTGTACTGGTGTCTGCGGACGCGACAGCCCGTGCACGTCGTGGCGCGCTTCGTCGACCGCTACTACCGCGTGTATCCGGAGACGATACAGGGGTCGCGAACGTCGGCTCTTAGGCCCGCGGTCGTGTACGCCATCTCTGCGAACCACCTCGGCGCGCTGCGGGTTATGCTCGACATGCGCGTGATACCGCCGCTGACGGAAATGGGCGGGCAGTATATGAGCTGGGCTGTCGAGCTGTGCGATGATCTCGTCATACCGCGCTGGCTCGTCGAGAACGGAGTCCGAGTTACGGCGCCGCATATGTTTGCCCTTGATAGGAGGGGGCTCGCGCCGAGTCCTGACGCCGACTGGCAGTGGTTTTGGAGACATTACAGTTCGCCCGTCGCGACCACCACGGGCAACGCGGGCGGTGCGAGTAATACAGGTGGGCCATAAGTTCGGATACGTAAATAATAATCCCCCCCTGAGTGTGATTATGGCTTCGCTGGAACCTAAGAGATAATGCGTCTCTGATTGGACTTAGATACGACGCGCTCTTTACCTTAGGTATATACTTGGTAAGTACGTAGAAACATTGTAATTTGAAATTACACCTAAAAAGCGTTATTTTATCAGTGTATTGTCTCTAGCGTATGAATGTAGTTCCTTATATATTTTCCAATGTTTAATGTCTAGGTGAAATCTTGTTGTCACTCCTTAATGGCTGGAGAAATTGTGTCCGCATAGTCGTAAGAAATCTCTTAATCCCACTTCGCTGCTGGAACAATATAGTTTCTGGTCGACTGGATTCAGAATTCGAAATAATAATAAAACAATCATATAGAGGTTTCGGTGAGGTTTTTTCTCTTTACCAATCGTACCCATCTTCTCCGCCTCCACTCGCCTCTCCTGCCGTCGCTATCCTCCCCTTCTTCCCAACTAGGCTTTTGTGGGGTCTTTGCTTTCTCCTTCCCCTTGACTGGTGTAGGCTGTTCGATCACTCCGACCTTTTCACCCTCCTGCTCGTCGTATATATCGTAGACCCACCTCTCACCCTCGGTCTCGACTTCGACGCCTGTGATGATGCGCTCCTCTACCCATTCGCGGCTCCAGAGGTCCAGGGCCCACTTCTTCTCGCTCCACTCCCACCCCTTGGGAGGAAGTACATCTTCGAAGAAACGTGTGCCAACTGGCCTATCTCCGGCAATGCGTCGTGGTGATAGCGGGTCGTATGGCGCCGCACTGAATAACCATGGTTCCCATTCACCCTCGTTCGAGAGACGCTGTAGCTCAAAGATTTCCACTTCCCTGACTTCTGGCGCGTTGTCGAGTATGACATCGCGTTCAACCCACTGCTCTATCCAGCCTCTAGCTTTCTCCTCTTGTGGATGTATATGCTTCTCATGTGCAGCTTGAAGCTGCCGCTGAATAGTAGGATGGCCAGTACATATAACCACCCAACCGATAGATAAGAAAATCAATCGCCATGGTAGTATATTCGACGCAATGCTCATGAAGACGCAGACGATGAATAGGGATACGAACAAGGCGCTACTCAGAGCTTCGTCGCTGAAATTTGTCCGTGGTACTACTAGCCTTATGATATTGTCGTGGAGCTGGCTGAAGTCCTCCATACTATTTTGCAAGTCCCTCATGTTGCGGAAAAAGTCCCTACTCAACTCCTTGACGGGCTTGACAGTAATTGCAGGGCCAAGCGGAGGTCCATGGGGCGAATATCCTATCGCCTGTTCACTTGACAAGCTGAATTCGGCTGCGGGATAGCGTGCTACAAAGCTCGGGACCAGGACACAGATGAGGAGAGCTGTCAAGGGAAGAATTGGTAGGAGATAGGGGTCCAGGCAGACGAATGTGAATATGGCGAGAAAGGAGATGGTATGCGTTGGTCGTCTCCAAGACAGTAAACGGACTACGCGAGCTTGAAAGACAAAAATAACTCCGATACGAGCATTGAAGCGTCGGAAATTGTTGGACATGGTAGGCAGATTAAAATTAGGACGGTCCGCGCCCGGTGTGTTAGGTTCTTGAGAGGCTTCATCCTGGGGAAGCTGGGTGTCGTCGAGGGGCACCACCTGAGATAACAACTTCTCGACTAGTTGGTCTTGGATCTTGGTTTTCTCCTTGAAAGCCGAGAGGTGACCGCGGAGACCCTTACGCCGCCGGGACGGAGTCTCACTATCGGAGCGGTCTCCCGAAGTCGAAGGTGTACGTGGTCCAGGTGGCGAAGAACCGTCAAGGACGATGGTTGGGATAGGGTCGTCACGGTTGACGAAGACATCCGGACTATAGTCATCCATTTTAACTCTAGGATGTGATATTACTATAATATTTGCTGAAACGGCCCGTCTGTTTGCGTTATATCGAGTTTCACGATGACGCAAGTCGAAGATCCAGGGAGCTTCGGAAAAGCTTCAACCTTAGCCAGTATGGCTACGAGAGCTTGGACAATGCTCTAACATTATATGTCGTAGAGATACAGTAATGCTACGACGTCTAGCTTGATGAATAACTGTGTTATGAAGATTGAAGATAAGAAGCTGAAGTTATGGAATACGTGAGATGAGCTACGATGAGTTGGAACCGATCGATCACATGCCAAAGCTGCCTAATAATAGCCTTACCTAAGAAATACGTAGCCGGTAGCTGTGCCGACAATACCGCGCGTTAGTGGTTTTGAATAGCGTATCGATAGTAAACACGACAGGGCTAAATGCCACTAAGAGGATAGCGGGGCATGCATTTTAGGGAATTGCAGGGGTCCATGAAGCTCCAGACAAAAATGTTTCCAACAGCGTAACCAAACAGCACCACATCGTCAACCTTAAACCCGTCACATACCACCTCCGGGAAAATGCCAATCACAATCCTCCAACCGGCATTGCTACCGGCGCACAGCCCCCGAGATGCAAACTACGATTCCGAGTCAGATTCGGAGGGCGGTGTCGACCTGGAAGGCGACATCTCCATGATGCGCCCGGCCAAGCGAGCTCGACGGACAGGCGACGACTCGATTGTGACTCCCGGCGAGGTGATCACGGAAGATCCTCAATGGATGCGGTAATACTTTTCAATGCTATCTCCCCAACTATACGCATACATATTGAGGAGTAACAATAACAAAAAAGCTAATATATCTTCACAGCGGCCACGGCACATACACAACCGCCGACCCCCCCGCGATAATATCCTCCGTAGCAGGCACCCTCTCCAAAACCAACAAACTCCTCTCCGTGCGCCCCCTCCGCGCACGCTACACCCCCGAGATAGGCGACCTAGTCGTCGGCCGCATCGTCGAAGTCCAAGCGAAGCGCTGGCGCGTCGACGTCGGCGCCTCGCTTCTCGCACAGCTGCCCCTCAGCGCCGTCAACCTACCCGGCGGCATCCAGCGCCGCCGCACCGAGACCGACGAGCTGCAGATCCGCACCTTTTTCAGCGAGGGCGATTTGCTCGTCGCCGAGGTCCAGCAGCTGTACTCGGATGGCGGCGCCGTCCTGCACACGCGCAGTCTGCGCTTCGGCAAGCTGCGCAACGGCGTGTTCATGGCTGTTAGCGGCACCGGCGGCGGCGGCGGTGTTATCCGCGCGAAGCGGCAGACTTTCGTGCTGGACGTGGGCCGGGCGGTGGGGGGTGGGGGTGCCGCGGCGGATGATGCCGAGAAGATTGATATTGTGCTGGGTGTGAACGGGTATATCTGGATCAGCAAGCATGTTGAAGGCGAAGGAGCAGCGGCCGAGGGTACGGGGCCGGGAATTACGCGGATCGAGGAGAGCGTGGGATTAAATGTGTATTCGAGCCAGAACGATGCGATACCGCCTGGCACGATGCGTGAGATTGCGCGTGTTAGGGGCGTTATCAATGCTCTTATCGAGCATGGCCTGCGTGTGGACGAAGAAATGGTAGTTACGGGTTACCACGAAGCGGTCGAAATGGCAAGGGCTGATGGTGATGGCGAGGAGACGTTGTATCTTGGGGGTGACCGAGGTCGACGACTGGCTGATACCCTTGTAGGACGGTAGGGACGGACCAAAGCTAGTAGGTCAGTAAGAAAAAGCCATCAATAACGGCTTAGTTATATGAATCTATCACGTCGGCATATTTGATGCAAAATATGTCGTTATAAGAGTACCTGTCACTAAGATAGCTATCCCGAAAAATTACAAATGTTAAAGAGTGAGATACCATCAATTTGCACATTAAAGGTAGTTATAGTACGTTCAATGCTGTAGGATATCTATTATAGGCCAATGATATGTGCACATGTAGCCGGATTGGTTATCGGGACACGAATTCGTTATATACTCTTCAGAAACGCCTACTGGCCATCTTCATTACAATTATACCCTTTCAGTCCCCATTCCTCCTTATAAACACTTTTGTTTGATAGCACCACAGGTTCAAGCCCAATAGGAACACCACTATACACATAGAAAACGCAGCGTAACTCGATACTCGAGATAGACTCGTCATATGCGTAATTATCTTACACATACAAATAAAATTTGATTCCGTACATCAGAGTGCAAGTCAGAGCTTCGCTCGCGGATCATCACCTAGTCTTATTGGTTAGCTAAGCCAAAATAAACAGATTCGACAACAATGAGGAGAGTCTAGAAGTGATCTCCCTTACATCCGGACGCCTCTTACACGAAAGAAGCCGAAACCCCAACATCACATCATTTCCAAAATTCAAGGCCGCGCCCAAATCGATACCGGGAAAATATGGCATACGCCGAGGTAAGGAGAACAATCCACCTCAGTAACGCACCTTTGGCAGTGGGGCCGCCGAGGCCGAAGATGAGCCAGAGCCAGTAGCCGAGACCGGAAAGGGGCTTGCCGTCGCGGTCGAAATTAGGCTTGGTGCTAGTCATCCAGATATGGCGCTTGAAGTCGGGCGCCGAGAAGGGCGGATACCGTGGGCGTAGCAGCTTGTCCATCCAGTTCGGTACCTCGACTATCGTACGCCGGTGCGTGAAGCAGTCGAAGCCCGCTCGTCCGTGGTACGAGCCCGTACCGGACTCGCCGACGCCTCCGAAAGGTAGCGTGGATATCGCGCCGTGCATCCATGCGTCGTTGATAGTAGCACCACCGGAAGTAACTTGGCTGAGGACTGCCGGGTATGATTAGCACAGTTTTAGCACAGTTTTAGCACGGCAAAGGTTTAGACACTCACTCTTTTCGTTCTCGGCTTTGGACCCGAAAGTAGTAACCGTTAGAGGTGTAGGGTCAACCGTGTTCATGATCTTAACAGCATTGTCGACAGTATCGTAGGGAATAATAGACCAGACGGGACCGAAAGATTCGTCCTTCATCATGGGGTCGTCGGTAGAGTCCACGAGAACAACGGTTGGTGAGATGTAAAGATCAGATCTATCCGTCTCTCCGCCCAAGACAATCTTGCCGTTGGTGGTGTCGAGCATCTTCTTGATGCGGTCGAATTGCTGCTCGTTAACGATACGGGCATAATCGGAGCTCGCCTTAGCACCGTTGGGGTAGAATTCCTTGTAGGTCGCGTTGAGATGCTTGATAAAGTCATCAACTAAGTCTTTCTGGACGGTCACATAATTCTGCGATAAGCAAACTTGGCCGGCGTTGATCGTTTTCCCCCACATGAGACGTCTTGCAGCTAGTGCTAAGTTGGTAGATCTGGAGATGAACGAAGGGTTTCGACCTCCAAGCTCGAGAGCAACTGGCGTAAGGGTCTCGGCGGCCTTCTTTGCGATGATTCTCGCAACAGTCGGACCCCCGGTATAGAATATCTTAGCCCATTTCTCATTGAGCAAGGCAGTGCTCTCCGGGACTGTTCCATTGACAACGAAGAATGACTCGGGGTCAAGGTACTTCTCAATCATCTCCTTCATTACCATGGCAGTCGCAGGAGCGCTCTCAGAAGGCTTAATCACAGCGGTACAACCAGCCGCAATAGCACCAATGAGCGGAGCGACGTTAAGCATTAGAGGGAAGTTATAGGGGCCAATAATTAGAACCGCGCCTAGAGGCTCCTTTCTGATACGTGGTTTCATGGCTGAAAATGTCCAGGGATACTCGATATCCTTATCGTCCTTTACCCAGTCCTTCAGCTTTTTGAGAACTAGGTTAAGTTCTTGAATCAAATGGTGAATTTCAGACAAGATAGCATCGTGAGGCGCCTTGTTCAAATCCTTCTTCAAGGCGGCCTGGAAATTCTCAGTGTAGTCAGTGATACCCCAATACAGCTTTCGAAGCTGTACAAGCCGCCACTCGACATCTTTGGTCTTTTGGGATTGATACGACTGGCGGACTGTAGCAGCAATCTTAGGAATGCTGTCGATGGGGGTTGCCTCAAAGGCGGGGATCTTGATATCAGATGTCATGATGGTGGTAGAAATCGAGGATATAGGAATAATAAAAGAAGCTGGTAAACAGGAGGCACAGTGAGAGAAACCAGTCTTCTCGGAGCTACAGATGACAAACTGACGTAATAGACAATAGATATGAAAATTTATTGGTAATTCTGTATTCATAAAAGCATCCCAAGTTTTACCCTATGTTACATCAGACTGATGTTATCAGACTGATGTTACATGAAATTCGTTGAAGCTGCCAAGTAAATAAACTTCGCCGAGGTTCTTACCCCAGTCTGTTTTAGATATCCCAGCTAGCAGCGGCGGCCTGCAGACGCGAGCCACAACGGCTTGCGCGGGGTCCGAATTGGGGTTGATTGCAGGTACGTAATTCACACTGTAACTTATACTGTAAGACAAGAAAGGTACGTACCTTGTAAAAAGCACAGACCAATTTAGCTTGCCCTATCGGCCTACCGAGCCCCCACTTCGGTTTCGATACACCAAAAAGTCCCTATCAAAATTCAACGAACTTTTTTTTTTTTCCCTCCCTCTTTTCCAGCAGCATCAATCGCAACGCTTCGCCGGCAACATTCAACCCTCAACCACCTCAATCAACAGACGCAGGATTCGACCTCTTTGCGTTCATAATCACACTCAGTAGCAATGGCTCCTCAAACAGTATGTATCACATGACACCGCTTTGCTGTTGGCCCAGTCTCTCTGGCAATCAGCGAGATGATGGCGTGAAGCAGTAGGCTAAGGTCAAATTTTCATCATGTAGAAGAAGTCCGGCAAGCAGGCCAAGACGACGAAGAAGGTAAGCTCTCTCATAATATCCGATCTTGTCGCAAAACACAGAAGTTTCTTACAATGCGCCTCAGTTCGTCATCAACGCCCAGCAGCCCGCCAGCGACAAGATCTTCGACACCGCTGCCTTCGAGAAGTTCCTCCAGGACAAGATCAAGGTTGACGGCCGCACTGGCAACCTCGGAGACGCCATCGTTATCCAGCAGGCTGGCGAGGGCAAGATCGAGATCATCGCCCACAACGAGCTCTCCGGCAGATACCTCAAGTACCTGTGAGTTCCTCCCGATTTGCTACGGCATACATGGCCAAATATAAAGTCACTAATACTTGTCGCATTTAGGACCAAGAAGTTCCTTAAGAAGATGCAGCTCCGTGACTGGCTCCGTGTCGTCTCTACCTCCAAGGGTGTCTACGAGCTCAAATTCTTCAACGTCGTTAACGACGAGGCTGATGAGGATGAGGACTAAATGGACATGGAATTATGATAAATGGGGGAAATTGGCGATTGTGCATGGACTCTACGTAGGACAGGCACTTCGATGCTATGACACATAGACTTGAATTCCCAGGAATAAAATCGCCATTGCCAACAAATACTTGGACTCTTTATTGTGATTTGGTCTATACACACTTTCTAAGCCTTTGGGCTGGGTAGCTCCGTGAATGCATGGTATCTCGTCTATTATGGTAATGCTCTCATAACGCCTTCGAAGGCCACCAAAGCCATAGCATTAGCGGGAAATGCTCTCAAGAAACACGGTAAAAACCCTCGCCAATACCCCTTAGCACCGCCCTCTCTATAAACAGCTTGCGCCGCCTGTAACCAAGTCTTAAACCTCGGCGTCCCGTCATTAAGTTTCCCACCCATCGGATCTGTCATGACCCGTTGCTTAACAACATCGCTCGGATAGCTCGTAAGCCAGAAGATCTGAGCGCTTAGTCCACCTGCCCAGAAATTAATAGCCGGAGTGCTGAGACTCGTCCGGTCTCTTAAAAGACGCGAGAAAATATCGTAGGACCCCCACCAAAAAAAGAAAAAGGACCGGAATATCAGCGTCGAAAACAGCCCCTTGTAGATACCGCGCACGCCGTGGGCGCCGTAGATCTTCCGTATACAGTCTACCGGCCCCGAATACAACCGCTCGGTCTTCTTGGCCGAGTACTGGATCTGCAGGCGCGCCTTGACGTGCTCGACAGGCGCCGCGATGAAGCTCACCGTGCAGCCCGCAAGAACGCCCGCGAGCCCGTGGCCGTAGGACGGCAGATGCGCTGCGGCGTGCGAGGTCGCGGCGATAGGGCCCTCTTTCTCGGGCCGGGTGTTCGGGGGCGTCGAAGGACGGTGCGGCGTCAGGTGCCGGTAGAAGACGTGCTCGGCGAGCAGCCGGCGGTACACGGTCAGCGACCCCAGCATGATGGAGTCCATGAACATCCAGCCGACGAGGGGGGGAGTGGCGCCTTTATACAGGCCGCGCACGCCTTCGTTGCGGAGCGTTTGGACTAGGCATTGTAGCGGTCCGCTGAAGCGTGTGGAGTCGGTGGTTTGTAGGCGTACTTTGATCGTGTCGAAGGGGTGGCCGACTGTAGATCATATCATAGCACATACATTAATATATTAATACATATTGTCTTTTGCCGGTGCTGGAGTGCTGGAAGAAGAGAGACCAGACCTACCCGATAGCTTCGCGATGCCGGAGAAGACGCCCGCTACGAAACCCTTGTAGTTCTTGTTGGTTTCTGCCGGCTTTCGCGTGTGGTCGGCCGTCATCGTACGGGCTGGGCTACATTGGAGGGGAAGGGAAGGTAAATTTATTTTAGAGGAGTAGTGACGTCTGTGTTTTTTTTTTTTTTTTTTTCGAATTCGAATCTAGGTTAGGTAAGTTCCGGAGCCGAGATCGGCCGCCGGGTTTACAATGTAGGTTCTCGATCCGCGCCGTGTGGACATAGGTTTTAGATCATGGCCAATTGGAAATGGTCCGTTATTAATTCATACATGAAAATTGTGAAATTGGGTTGAGCATTAATATTAAATTCATAAGTGTATCGTCGATCCTCTCGACGTTAGTCCAATATCCCCCCTTTCCTATCTCTGTAAACGTTGGGAAAGATGCAAATATGTAAGCTCATGTCACAACCTGGTAATCTAGCCTATCCCAGCGTATGATCTCAACTCCAAAATAAGCAGCACCGTTATCTCTCAGGAAGTTGACCATGTCTTTGCATGCCTCGCCCCATAGCTGCTCATCCTCGGCACTATATTCACGATCGTTCTCATCCCAGGCCACTACCATGATAGTCGGCACGGCAGCTATATTAGACCCTTCCATCCGTCTATTAGCGGCCTCAAACTTGATAGACCACTTCTCCCGTAGACTTTCTCTAGACCCTAAAAAGCCATTCCTTGCTCTTAGCTCTTTGATGGTATCTTCTAACTCGCTAGACAGATTCCGTTGTCCGTCTCGTGGTGCCCATGGTTCCAGGTTTGGATAGCACACTCGCTTCTGTTCCGCGTTAGAGGATGGACATATTTCAGCTACTGTCCATGTCTTGTTCCTGTTCCCAATTGCTAGCTTGTCGATATTGAGAGGAAATGTTTGTGCTCTTTGAAGCATCCTAATATAAATGTGAAATTGATTTAATTACTATTTGACGTGTGTGGTAAAAATGGTCATTAAATTTGAGGATGACGATGAGTACAGTTAGTATGGCAAGTTTCCGTTTGACAGGATTCGAGCAGATAAGTATTGGGGCAAGTTGTGAGAGTTGTGCTGACGCTGACGCAACCGGAAATAATCAGTTTACCAGCCCTCAGGACATAATCACTATACCTGGGTAGTGATCGCGACGAGATACTTCATCATTTATTAAGGGCCTTTAGCATTCGATAATTTCTTAGCTGCTCAATCCGCGCGAGTATTCTCTTTCATCTCATTATCCCAGAACAGCCTTTACCTAGCTGCTAAGTGTAGCAGAGCCCGGAGGCTGAAATATCCATCGTTTCCAGCACATTATAACCCAGTAGGTGAACAACCGAGCTCACGGGGAAGCTCTATAAGTCTAAGGGCGAAATAAGGGAGAACCTGACCCGATATCCTGTAAGTGTCGAGTACTAAATACCCCTAGACTAATATTTACCAAAAAGGGGTAAATCTTCCAAACGCATCAATATGACAAGCAGCTCACTCATTCCTCCCAGCTTTTACTATTTCCCATCCAGCCAACAGTATTAGAAAGAAGCCACCCAATAGTCAGACTTACACCCCACCCACCCCTTTACTCCTCAGCCCTCAGCATATCCGGCATCGCCTTCGAGCCCGAGGCTATCTTCTTCGCAAGCGACGTGAGCGCCGTCTTGCTCAGCAGGTCGAACACGGAGATATCCGACTGCAACTCCGAGTAAACCCAAGCCCGTAGCTCGACGGCAAGTAAGCTGTCGACGCCGTAGCTGCTCACCGGCCTCGTGACTTCAATGTCCTCTGTTTGATCCATTCGTTAGCTTTGTTCTCTCTTGTCTTTCGCGACTGTGCTGCTGCTACTTAGCACTACTTACCAGCCGCTATCATCATAGACTTGGCGAGCTTCTTCACTAGGGCGTCTGCGACGATATCAGTCGCCTGCTCGAGGCTGCTTGCCTGCGCGAGCTGCACGCGCAGCTGCACCGTGTCCTCATGCGTCACCTTCGCGAGCTGGTGTATGTCGACCTCTGCGAGGTGCGCAAACTTGGCGTCCTTGTAGTAGTACGGCTCCTCCTTTGCGCCGTGTAGTAGTATGCCACCCGTTCCGAGGCCGGTGATGACCTGTGGAGGCACACGTGCGCCGTTGAAGCTCTCGCCCGTGATGGCGGCTTGTAGGATGCTGAGGAACTCCTTCTCTAAAATACCGATGACGATCCAGCTCTGCATATTTTCGAAGACGCGGTAATCTGTCGTCTCCTCGGCTAGGAAGCCGACACCTAGCACCATGCCGACGTCTATGGCGCACGCGTTAAGGCCGAGCTTGCGTCGGTGATGGGCTAAAGCGTCTTGGTATGTATTACCGGCTGCGTAGTTGCCTTGGCCACGGGAGCCGCCAATGCCGGCGATAGATGAAAGCATTACGAAGAAGTCGAGGTCGTTGGGTAGGTAACTGTGTAAATTCCAGCTCCCTTGGACCTTACTTCGGGTTGCAGCAAGGAATTGGTCCGACGACATGGTCTGAGAAATCTATTCCATGGCATATTTATTAGCCAAAACTCACCATATGCAAACGGAATGGGAGTGACTTACACCGTCCCTAAGCGCCATGGCACCCTGTATGACACCACGAATAGCAGGCCAATTCTCGATCTTACATCTATCTAGACATCCTAGTAGTTGGCTTTCATCTGCTACATCGCACGCCCATGCGTCTGCTTTGACCCCTTGACCAGTGAGTTGAGCTAACAAGCCTGGGACAGATGCCTTGCTGGCCCCTGAACGAGACAGAAGGAGGATATTCTTTGCACCAGATTCTGCCATCCAGTTGGCGATGGAGCCACCTAGACCACCTGTACCGCCTACGATCACGTATGTTGCATCAGGATGGAAGTGCACTGGAGCCGTACCTGGTGGGATGGCTTGGATGACATCACCATCCACAGCTTCTATCACGAGCTTACCGACGTGTTTGCCAGTCTGCATGAGTCTAAAAGCTTCTTCCACCCTCGAGAAGGGCATAGTGGTGATCGGCGTGAGAGGCTTTACGATACCCGCACGGATCAGGCCCATGACCTCGCGGAACACCCTTGCCGTGGTGAGGATGTCATGGTCCATAAGGTCGATCATGTTAACAGAGTGGAAGGACATGTTCTTGATAAACGGCGCCATGTCCAGTCCAGTGTTTCCAACGATATCTTTTTGGCCCAATTCAACGAATCGGCCAAATCGTGCGACGCAGTGCCATGATTCCCTTAACGCGTCGCCGGCGAGAGAGTTTAATAAGACATCCACGCCGCGCCCACTGGTATGCCGCTTAACCGCCTGTGCGAAACTCACGTCACGGCTGTTGAAAATGTGGTCTTCGGGAACATTATACGTATTTATCAATAGCTGCTTCTTCTCGCGTGACGAGACCGTGGCAAAGACCTCGGCGCCAAAGTGCTGGGCAAGCGCAATAGAAGCTTGTCCGAAACCACCGGCTGCGCTGTGGATCAGGATCGTCTCGCCCTTTTGTATATTTCCAACATTGACCAGGGCGTAGTATGCGGTGCTATATACGAGCGGAACCGAAGCTGCCACATTAAAGTCGAAGTTTTGAGGAATTAATTGGACCATGGACTCGTCTGTTCTGATGTAATTTCTGAACGTTCCTTTCTTCCAAGTCATCACCTTGTCCCCGGGCCGAAACGCCTTGACTTTGTGGCCGACACGGCTCACAACACCACTGGCGTCAAGGCCGAGTTCATGCTGTGAGAGCTGGCCCATTGCTATCATGACGTCCTTGAAGTTAAGACCTGCGCTCTTGATTTCAATTTCAATCCCGTAGTCAGAAAGCGGTACTAACGCAGTAGGATCGTCCACGAATCGCAACGTATCAAGCCTTCCCGGTGACCCGATCTGAAGCGTTAACGGGCGACCCCCTTGCTTGAAAGGGGCTGGTTCGGGCTGAGCAGCGACGTGTAATGTTTTGATCAGATCATTTACACCCCTCTCGAGGACGATCCTCTGAATCATTGGAACCCCATCCCTTATAGCGACCTCCCAATCAGGGCGCTCTAGGCCCTTAGAATTCATTAACGCTGTGAATACTTTAATAACTGTAGCGATCGTCTCGTCGGTATTGATTGCAACATTAGGGTCCAGATCCAGTGTAGAAAGAGAAATAGTAGGATTCTCGGCGCGAATCACTCTTGATAAGCCGGTCATAAGGTTAGACTGAGGGTTCTCGCTGTCGACAGTACCGCCCCGTGTTACGTATGTAGCGGTTCGGGAAGAAAAGAGAAGGTGTTTAAGGGCATCCCAGTCCTCCGTGGATACATTTGGAAGGAAGCCTTCATGTCTCTTAACATCGACCAAAATAAGGCACGATTTGTTCTTCACATTGACACCAGTTGTGTTTTGCAATCTCATAGTTACCACGTCGCGACCGGCACCCCTCATCTTCGATGCGATATTCTCTGCAAAGTTAGATGTCTCCTGCTCGGGAGTTGTTGGTAGAACGATCATGACTTCTTGCGATGTATCCAGGGGTTTAGATGCAGTGGCAGTAGTGACCATGACTGAATTTGTCAGATCTATACTCTCTTCGAAATCTGGGAAGTTAATCTCTACGCCGGAAAATCCTACGTCGAGCATAAGGTTATTCCATTTATCTACGGTTAGACATGGTCCTTCGTGACGTCCGTCCCCCTCGCCTATATAGAGTGTTAATATCTTTGGCAAGCCTTAATAAGACTTACTGTCGAACTCACCATACCACCAGCCTTCAAGTGAACCCACAATCATGTGCGTTCTCATTTTCCCAGCTGGTTCCGTGATTTCTCTGAGGATTAATTTCCCATTTCTATAACCACAAATTAGTAGGGTTGCTAAACAAATAATCACGATATATACCTACGGCTTCAATAATTTATGGACATGCTTTAAGGTTTGTGAGAGAGATCTCGTTGCATGTAGCACGTTCGACGCGACGATCAGATCGTAAGTGTACTCCTTGAATCCTTGTGAAGCAGGGTCCTGTTCAATGTTAAGTTTTCTAAACTCCATAAACGGAGTCCAGGATGCCAGCTTCTCGATAGCCTTTTCGAAATAACCGGTGCTTATGTCAGTGAAGGTATACTTCGTGAAGTGCGGCGAGGTATCGTGGGAACCACCGAGTGATTCAAGTATAGGTAAGCTCACGCCACCGGTACCCCCGCCTACTTCGAGAATATTCATGTTAGGATTCTTATGCGCTAGCAACTGAATATAAGCTGCCATCTGGCAGTTGTGCCGCTCTGTGCCCAGGGAATATTTGTACCAGTTATGAAGAAGGTCGTTGTTCATCAGAACTTGCAAAGGCGGTATTTGCCCGCGGAAAATCTGTGGGAGATGTTCGCCATGTGCACACAGGATAGCACCATCCGAAGAAGACTTAGACACGCGGTCCAATAGCTCAGACTCGGCCTTCTCTCCCAAGTCCAACCAATTGGAGTCTGAAGTTTGGTAGCAGAGCTGGCGTTTCTTACCCATATCATAACGTTTGTGCATATAGTTGTAAAACAGCTTAAGATTCCACCCGAGGCCTTCGACTTCAGGTAAAGAGAGCTCGTTCACAATGCGCTTGATATAGATTAAACTAGCAATTTCAAGTTCTTCTAGAATTTTGCGGTGGGGGTTAACGACTTGCTTAGCAGCATTAATACTGATATTTTCGATTTGTCGACGATCCAGAAGAGATACATCCGGTTTCCATTCGAAGACCGTCGCGAGCTTTTGTAGGGACTGGGCGGGAGTGACATCGTCCTCGTTAGCATCATGAACGACAGCGCATTTTATACCTTCAAAAGTGACAAGTGGTTTGTCCCACTGAGTGTCAGCCACGAAAATGGACCATTCATCATCTCCAGAATCCAACTTATTCCGTTGAGAGTAGCCAGACAAGACTACACCGGGTCGATTCGGGACATCCGCTGACACTATTAATCGACTGATACTTGTCGGTACCATGGCCGAAGTAATATCCTCGTTCACCTTGGTGTATGACGGCAAAGCCATGTGGATCATACTATCTAGTGTAGCGGGGTGGATAATGTGAGGATACTCGAAGTTATGAGGCATGAGGCTCTTCGTGTCAGGAATCCTTAGCTTACAGACACTCCAGAAGTTACCCTTCTTTATCTCGGTTAAGTTCTGGAAAACAGGGCCGTATTGAAGACCGATAGAATCAAGGTGCTCGTAGAATTGCCGCGGATTTTGGGCCCGGGAGTGTTTTTCTTGGATGCGATGGTATTGTTCTGCATGGTTCGCTGCAAGTAGTACACCCTCATCATGGAAAAATGCGTTGGGAACCTCTTTATAGTTTATGCGGATCAAACCTGAGCAGTTTAGTTCCCATGCTTCTTGGCGTGAATAAACTTGAAATTCCTCCCAGGTTGAAGTGAGAGCTCGCGATCCAGTGCGGTGAGGCTTGATTGAGAGCATAGTCTCGACACCGTCTTCATCATTAGGAACCACGATAGCCTTACCAACGATAACATCTCGAAGCTCGTAGCTATCAATTTCACGATCTTTAGTAGCGTTATGAAACATAGCCTCGATAGCCATAACCATCATACCAGCAGCAGGGTAGAGTATAGAGCCTTGTACCTTATGTTGCTCTATCCAAGGCACCTCCGTTACCCGAAGAGTATTACGGAACCGTGGTTCATTAACCAAAAGCTCGGGAGTTGCCACACCAAGGAGATCCTTCCTGGGACTGTCCCGGAACCTATGCGCTTTTGATAATAACGATTCTGTCCAATACTTAGCACTATGGTTCCAGCTGAAAGGTGGTAGATCGACCAGAAAGTCCTCGGACGGGTTCTGCTCATTGACAGCGTTAATGTCCGCAGGGTACCCGGACTGGTACAATTTGCCCGCGACGGTAAATGCAGTTTCGCATGCGTTTGAGCCTCTTATAATTGCCGATTGGTACGTGTAGCCCGCCGCGTACGATTTGAGCGTATCCTGGCCTAGAATTTGATCCAACGGACCTTTAAGGGCAGAATGGGGGCCAAGCTCGATGAAGTTCTTGACAAACCCCTTTTTTGCCCGCCCCCTACTATTTTCTCCCGAATAAGTAACCATACTTTCAACCGCTCCGGTAAAGTTGACTTGGCCGATCATATTAGCTACCCAATACGAAGGTCCAAATTCGGAATTCTCGGCCAGGTTTCCGGTCAAAGATGAAAACATCTTCACCGTGCTCCGGCCTTCGGGAAGGGGTGTGATTTCACTAATAGCTCGATAGTACTTGTCCGCAATGACCTGCATATGTGGCGAGTGGTAGGCGACGTCCACTTTTAGCTTCCTTGCGAAATGACCATCGTCCTTCAGTAGCTTCTCTAGCTGGGTTATGGCTACGGAGTCTCCTGATAGGGTCACACTAGAGGGACTGTTGATACAGGCAATAGTAGCCTCACCTTCAGTGACACGTGTAAGATATTCTCGTACTTCTTTATTTCCAAGCCCAACGGCTAGCATAGAGCCCTGTAGTTGTGGAGCGAAGCCCCGAATACAGTTCGAGAGATGGCCGCGGTGGTAGGCGATTGCCCAAGCATCGTCGCGTGCGAGTGCTCCTTTAGCATAGGCCGCTGCGATCTCACCGCTTGAATGCCCAACGACGGCTGTAGGGAAGATCTTCCACATCCTCAGCAAGTCTACCAGTGCCACTTGAAGCGCGGTACATATAGGCTGGCTAAGGTCTGCTGAGTCCAACCTCGACGTGCTCTCGTCTTTCCAGATCTCAGCTGTGCGTATATGTTAGCTCGAATCCTCGCAGGATCAAGAAAGTAATAAGTATAATTGAGTCAACTTACTCATTAGTGACCAAGGCGCTCCCAATTGTACGAAGTATCTCCCTGCTCCTTCAAGACTTTCTCTAAACACAGGAAGCGCTAGAAGCTCACGCCCCATGGCGTACCACTGTGCACCTTGACCAGTGAAGACGAATGCCAAAGCTAGTGCGGTCTTGGTATTATTAGATCGGACACTTCTAAGAGGTTTTCTTAATTCTGTAGAAGCTTCTTTACACGATGTTGCGATAATAAATGACTTCCAGGGAAGGATGCTGCGTCGTCCAGCGAGGGTACGCGCGAGTCTACAAAGGAGCTTTTTATCATGATTCCCCTCGATTGCTTCAGTAGAGGTCTCCTTAAGTTTGGCATCGAGGTATGCACCATACCCGTTTGAAATTCGCGAAATACCGGCCTGGTCATGTGAACTCCAGACAAGAAGTTTTGGAACCGGAGACAGGCTCGACTCAAACCGACCTCCCAAAAGTCCTTCCAGAGATCTCCACTGTTTAGTCCCGTCGCTAAGCTGGCCCATCATGTCAACATCATGAGTTGTGTCAATGCCAGAATCGGGGCTTGAAGCTGGTGATGATCTATTGAGAACCTGGACATTGTGATTTCCAGATAGACCCCGGGCTTTCAAGTAATGGTATGCATCGTCAATTATGCAGTGGCTATTAGTTCCACCATAGCCGAACGAATTAATACTAATGCGACGCAGTCCGTCTTTCGGCCAAGGCATAAGCTCCGTTGGAATCGCGAGATTCCAGTCTTCCATCGGAATTCGTGGGTTGGGCTTTTCATACCAGATAGTCGGTGCAATCTCCCCCTTTTCTAACATCAATATACCCTTTATTACCTGCACAAGACCAGAACCGCCTTCCAAGTGTCCAACATTTGATTTTATAGACCCTATCCAAAGGGGATCCCCAGGGGCTCTAGCTTTTCCAAAAGTAGCAGAAAGCGCGGAAGCCTCAACTGGGTCGCCGGCTGCTGTTCCAGTACCATGGGCTTCGACATAAGTTGTATCCCCTAAACTCAGGCCGGCGTCTGCATAAACCTTTCGAATTAATGTCTCCTGCGCCTCTGCTGACGGCAACGTAATTCCAGGAGTGTTTCCGTCTTGATTAATCCCCGAGTTACGGATAACACCTCGAATTACATCATTATCCCTAACGGCCAGGTGAAGTGGTTTTAAGATACAGAATCCGGCTCCTAGTTCTTCTATTAGCATACCGATATATTATTACGATAAATTATAGAGATACCTTCGCCTCTAGAATAGCCATCAGCTTTGTGATCAAAAGAGTGTGATTTCCCTTTTGGACTCAAGAAATGTAGTCGAGTCATTCCACTCATGACATCTGGTATTATCATTAAATTGGTTCCACCGACAACAGACTGGGAAGACGCATTAGCTATCATCTCTATCCTTCTTTTTTATGACGCACCAGTTTCGATTCGCCTGTACGAAGACTTTGGCAGCCAAGGTGAAGGGCTGCCATTGACGATGAGCAAGCAGTGTCGATACTAATACAAGGGCCCCTCATATTGAAAAACCAAGAGACCCTGTTTGACAACATAGCAAGGCCTGTTCCTGTAGCGTGGTACATGGGGAGGTTGTCGCGATCATGCGACAACATATCGTTATAGTCCTTCGTGAATGTACCAACATAGACCGACGTGTCAGACCCTGCTACATCTTCCATGCGAATTCCGGCTGAAAGATATAATTTTAGAGTCGTTTTTAAGTTATATTAAATATGTTGACATACCATTCTCTAATGCTTCATATGTGCATTCGAGAGCCATACGCTGTTGAGGATCCATCGCCTTGGCCTCTGCAACAGGGATGTTAAAAAAGGGGGCGTCAAATGCTGATATATCTCTCTTCATGAAATGAGCTTCTTTGAAATTCATAGTCCCATAGCGTTCCGTGCTTGGATGATAGAATGCGTCGATATTGAATCGGTCAGGTGGAATCCTAGAAGCAGCACTTCTGCCCTCGGATATCATATCCCAGAGTTTCTGCGGGTTTTCTGCGTCACCAGGAAAGCGCCCTGATATCCCAATGATAGCGACTGGCATGACGGCATCTTCGTACGGAGCAGCAGATAATATGCTGCTCCTCTGGTTGTGACCAAGAGAAGGCATAGATCGACTAAGTTAACAAGGCGATTTGTTTAAACCATTAGGGATTAGTCTTCCAAGTTGATGGCGAAAACCTGTTGTAAGCACGATTCCTAATATTCAGACTTGAATCTGATAGTACGATGGGAGTGTGAAACGACCATAAAATTAAGCTAAAAGACTACCTGATTTTATATCACCATCCTATCTTATTGGGAACGAATAAGCTTCACCAACGCAAAACACAAAGATAGATACCCAAGATAGATGATGTCTTTCGGTACATACCTAAGTAGGCATGACCACAGCAGCCAATGCGTCTTTCCGATATCATCTGCTTGCCTCCCGTGTCTGCACTTAAAAATTCGGCGACTCCATCGCAGACGTGGCGTTCTTTTCCCGTGCTTGCATTATCATGGCCTGTGTCTAAGGAATTGGTGCATATGCAAATCCATAACCGTATTTAGAGTTTTCTACAGAATATAACGGGTTTGAAGTTATCAATAGCTATGGCTAGTTGAGCCTTTATTTTGACTCTAGAGTCTACGCTTGATAAAGTTTACTATGTACCTACGGCAATACTACATGTAGGTATGTAGAATCGAAACATGTTGTTAGGTATTGTTAATAGAAAATGAGACAAGAGCCAATCAGAAGTTAGAGCCAAAGACTAAGTCGAGTGTTACACGAAATTTTCCTGATAGGGTAAGACACTTAGATTTGATTGGCTTGTTGCTTAACTCTAAAAAGGTACCTAAAGACCTATACTTGAATGGAGTTCGGCTATACTTGAGTTGTCATTCAAATTATTATTACATACATTATCTATTAATCTATTAATTGTCTTATTATTTTGCAACTTGATACGAGAAATTGTTGACAATTGAAAAGATCTCAGGTCTAATATCGTAGACCGCGAGGGTTATTTCATATGGATCTACCCCACATCAACTCTGCAGTAAGATCTGATTCCTCAATCTCTCAATGCCGGCTTAGAGAATCTCACGGCCGAAACTTCGCGGCCGAGTTCGTAGTGCTGACTACACGAGAGGTGGGGTTACAGCAAGGGAGTCGCATACAGCAGAAGTCATGATTGGTCGACGTGGTGGCGGAGCCTGACTGCTAACGCATCCTCCAATCCCGACGGTCGCATCCCTAGACGGCTTCCGTTGCTGACTATTAGATAGGGTCCTAAGATAGGTCCTAATGTAATAGAGAAATGCTACTAGTCAGACGCCATGTCTCGGGAGCTGAGACTATATTCGCATCCTCATGCGAGTAGGAGTAAATAGGAGTAGAATGAGGTAAGCATCTAGACCGGCTGAAGCCACCGATTGGTTTGCCTACTACGGTTGCGTGCCTTTTTTCATGGGACCCTTATCGCATACGGTCCAAACGGTTAGTACGGTCATAATCCCATACATATCCATGTTAGATCCGCAGCAGGATGCTCAGAGATACTCCGACATAATATAAGGCGGTAAGACACTTGTGCTTTCTTCTAAATAATCTACGGACTTTGTTTTTCAAAATAACCCATCGTTCAACACTTACCCGGAGAAAAGAAAATGAGTACTACAATGGTCACAGAAACTAGCTCGACGGGCTTGGGCTCGGGTATCTACACACAGTCCATCCTAAACTACCTATACCAGCGCTTAGTTCTGGAATTCAATGTCCCTTACGTATGGGGCTGCCCATGCGATGTATTACTCAACCTCTTTGCCGAACACTTCTCTCAGAACCATCTAGACTGTGGTGTCGCCACGGGTTACTTTCCCGCAACCGTCCTGCAACGTACCCGCCAAGCCAATGCGCAACGCCAAGTTACCTTGTTAGATCTCAACCCCAACTGTCTGGAGGCGGCCAAGGCAGCTATACAGGCAGAGGCGCCACAAGTTCCGGTTCACACTGTCGAGGCAGACATAAAAGCACCCATACCAGCTGCGTTAAAGGGCAAGAAGTTCGATACGATATCCATGTTCAACTTATTCCATTGCGTACCCGGGGGTGCGAGCAAGTTCCAAGCACTTGCCACCTACAAGGACGTTCTTGCGGATGACGGTGTGTTCATAGGATGTACGGTGCTAGGCGAGAAACACACCACCGGCTGGTTTTCTCGGAATTATCTCAGCCTCTATAACTGGGTCGGCGTGTTCAATAACTGGGATGACAAGGCGGAGGACATCGAAAGCGTGCTTCGATCAGCGTACAAGGAGGTTGATACCTGGAAGGTTGGAATGATATTCATGTGGAGGGTAAAGGGCCCCAAGAAGGCCTAAGTACCTACCTGATACTAACAACACCGCATTTATGGAGACATGGGCTGTTCATGGGGATGGGTCTGTTAGGAGTTTGGTTGGCTATCTTTTGTACCACAGCAAGCAGTTTTTTTCTTCCTGGGCTAAGTACAGGATAGATTTGGATAAATTCGGAGAAAAAAATACCTCAATACATCTGATTAAACTACAATTTGTGTTAAGCCTGTCCTATCGTTCTGACTAGAAAGTAAACCTATCAGCCTCCAGTCGGCCTCTATGCCAATATGAAGGTCTTGTCGAGTTAGATGGATACATCTGATGTCCGCCGTCTTTGGAACGTCTAATTGAAAAACCAAAGTGACAGTCCTATTAATTAGGCAGGTAATTTGTGATCCCGGAGTTCATAACGGCGTTCTCCACGCCACCGAGCCAGATTGTAACTTTCGTTGTATACGTTAGCACCGGGCCGAGGACATTGCTGTCGATCGCAAACGGGTTGTCACTTTTATAGAGACAAATCGCCCGTCAAAGTGTCCCACATACAGGTGGCCCTATCTGTAATGCCTCTTCGATGTCAGGCACCAATATATTAGCAGTTCGGCGATCAAGACCGACTTAAGTCTTCGTATTACTACATAAAGTTCTACAAATCTCATCACCGGTCATTCTTTAGGCACATGTTTCTAAGGAGATCGGTCGGAGGACGAAGAATAAACTTGTGTTAAGAGATAGATACCCTTGATTAGTGTCATACATAGAGTGAATGTCAGGATACTCGAATTGATCAACACCTGTTCTTCTATCCTCTTTCGCCTCTTATATACCCAATCCTAGTAGATTACCCCTAAATCTACCCCTAACCCATTTATTCCCTAACATCTACCTACACTATAGGACACAACTTAACACTTAGCTTCAAGAGAGGGTTAATAAGAATACGACAGGCAAATGATATTGTTTTCATGTAGGAATTTCTACTTGACTAGCCATTTTGATATGAAGGATAGCACTACTTAAAGTGTGATCTAAGAAGTAGTGTTCTAGATTTGGAGGGTGTATTGGCTTGTCATATCTGCAAGATGAGTAACGCAAAACACGACCCAGCCACCTCACCTAACCCAAGTACCCAGTTACGATAATAAAACTTGAGGAAAAAAATATCGTATACTGATTCGTTGGTATCTCCTCTTGAAATTTAAGTAAGGTATTTAAAGTCCAAAGTAGCTATTAGATGGGCGTTATAGCTTGATCGTAAAGGTGATAAGGGGTGGTGTTGGAGCTAAGTAGCACAAGCATTTCTCAAAGAGGTTCACCTCTAAGATTAGTAAACGCTTCCGTTAATCTACCTAGGTATTAGTTATTTTCTTTTCTTTCTTTCTTTCTTTCTTTGGACCATACGATTGTTAGATTGTGACTGGTGGTAGTTCTTACTAACATTACACAAGTACGTTTATTCCTATAGTTTTACAATCAATAAAGGAACTTTGCAGTGAATTCAACCTCGTTGTTCAAGATGTTTTGTATGTTACTCATGAGTATCTAGAAGTAATCATAGAAATTGATCCAGAATATATTGATTGTTAGTAGTATGTTGGTGTTTATTGTTATTGTTATCGTATGCTGCCATAAGAAACTCTTTGCTTGCACCATTCTAACAGCTATTGATGTATAACATGCTCGTTTGAACAGCCAGGGGAAATTATATATATTAAGTACCTAGATCCTATGAGAAATTTTCACCTTCTCTCCAAGCCATCACATCACATCACATCACATTTAACATTACCTTGATCAACACTCATCAATACCTTAGGTACTCTCCAGTAAAAACACTTCATATTTGCCAACATCCTACACTTCAAACGCTCCATCCATTCCGAAAATGTTTTTTACTACTCAACCTAGCCAGCAGCCTTTCCAAGGCGAACTTACTGTTGTTACTTCTATCCCTAACAACCTGCTTCCAGGTTGGACTTGCTGCAAAGACAACTATAAGAACGGCGTTGATGTAAGATTATGTGTCCAGTGTTGCCACCAAAAATGTTATACTTGTGTCATGGATAGTGTTGAGGCCAATGCTGCATCCATGTCAGAGTAAGGAAGCCGTAAGAGTTAAAGTAAGAACGTAAGATAACAGTTAATAGATAAATATTTATAGTAAATAAATATTTTTAAGCCCCTTTTGAAATTATTATACTTTGGAGTTTATCTACCCTATGTATTAAGTGAGTAGCTGTGACGTTATTGGCTAGAAAGCTTACTAACCTAGGAAGTACGCGTTACACGAATGTGTCTTAAGTCCATCTGGACCCTCTATGGAATGATGGAACCCCACCTAGCCCCGCGATTGGGGTTCACCTAGAAGCTTCTACTGCACGAAAAGCTTCACCTTCCAGTTGCTTCGGGCTGGAATAAGTGCAGGTGCGCTGCATTCCAATTGCTCCTGTAGCTGCAAACAGTCTCGCACCTGTAATCTTACATCAAACTTTTAGGCAATCACGTTCTCTCCGGTCTTCACCCAGCCCTTCATAAACTCTCGTACCGTCTCGATATTTAGCATCACATTCCCTTTCCCAACTGCAACATTACCACCGTCAACGACATAGATCCAATCCTACTACCTTAGGTACCTTAGGTATATAGCAGCCTAATTCGATTATACAAACCCACAACCACAAATATGGCAACCTCGGAACAACCTAAGAAGCGTAGCTACGTCTTCTTCGACATCACCATTGGTACCAAACCCGCTGGTCGTATCACCTTCGAGCTATATGACGATGTTGTACCCAAAACCGCCGAGAACTTCCGCGCGCTATGCACAGGTGAGAAGGGGCTCGGAAAGTCAGGCAAACCCCTTCACTACAAGGGTAGCATGTTCCACCGTGTCATCAAGCAATTCATGATCCAGGGTGGTGACTTTACTGCTGGCGACGGAACCGGCGGCGAGAGCATCTACGGCGAAAAGTTTGAGGACGAGAACTTTGAGCTCAAGCACGAGCGTCCCTTCCTGCTTAGCATGGCTAACGCTGGACCTGGTAAGTTATTATAATCGCTTATCCACCTAGATATATACACGTTACTTCAGGACATTTTAGACTTACAATTGCTCTTCCTTATAGGCACCAACGGCTCTCAATTCTTTATTACAACCGTCCCCACGCCGCACCTTGACGGGAAGCACGTTGTCTTTGGTGAAGTTAAGTCAGGAAAGTCTATAGTAAGGCAGATCGAGAACCTGCGTACCAACAATGACAAGCCTGTGAAGGATGTCATCATCACGGACTGTGGCGAGCTCTCCGGCGCCGCTGCACAGGCATCCGATGTTAAGGCCCCGGATACCTACGGCGACCAGTACGAGGACTTCCCTGAAGACGAGGCTGACCAGCCACTCTCTGCTTCGCGTGTGCTCCAAATAGCTAGCGACTGTAAAGACTTCGGCAACAAGGCTTTCAAGGCTGGCGATGTGCTCGGCGGCCTCGAAAAGTACCAGAAGGGTCTGCGATACCTAAATGAGGAGCCGGAGATTAAAGACGACGAGAAGGATCTGCGGCAGAAGCTCGATTCTCTACGCTTTACGCTCAACTGCAACTCAGCGTTGCTTAACCTTAAGCTCGAGGCCTGGGATGACGCCCAGCGCACCGCTGCGGCCGCCCTCGCTGTCCCCGGCATCTCCGACGCAGAGCGTGCCAAGGCGCTATACCGCCAAGGTCTCGCGCTCGTCAAGTTAAGGGATGAGGATGCAGCCCTCGCAGCTTTAGAGCAGGCCAAGAAACTGGTTCCTAACGATGCTGCCATCACTAAGGAACTCGAAGCGGTTAAGAAGCAGGCTGCAGCTCGCCTGGCCAAGGAGAAGGCTGCGTACAAGAAGTTCTTCTCGTGATCATGCTAGCTGTTCTTCAAGATAGTGAGAAGCAATGAAGAGAGTCGTTCGCGAAGGCCAGAGTAGGGTAGACGCCGAAAAAAGAGGAGATAGGGAGAGAAGATCTGGTTGATGCACTTTAACAATTAAGTCATCGATAATAGTTCTCAACCTAACGCGGGACAGAGGGCTAAGAGTGAGCAAAGGGGAAAAAAGCCAAAACTATATTTAATTAGGTACCTAGTTAAAGGTATAAAGGAGAAGGGGGGTTTGGTCAGGTGTCAGGTTGGACATTGATCTCTTCCCACCCTTTGGAGTCTGCATGTTCATAGACAAAGAAACACGGCTGTTAGTCACTACCTATCTTATGTATTTGGCGGGAGCAATGCATAAGGTAGGGTTAGATTCTAGGGAGTGTAGGGTATTCATGAACTAGGAACCTGAATGAATAATAAAATCCATGATATCATATTTCAAATATCACAATTCGAACTATATGCACAGGTACTTAAGCTTGGAGCAATCTTTGATATATTGTACGTATGTGTATATCCATGTCCTAGCCGGAGAACTAGACACCGTAGATTTTGTAAAAGTATAAACCACCCCCTTCCCTCCTTTTTCTAGACCCCGTCTCCCTCTCACCCCGTGTCGTCTGTCTGCTTTGCAATAATCATCTCCCCGCCCTAACATGTCTGATGTAGTATGTACGGGCACGGTATAATATGATATGATATGATAAACTATTGTATGATATGGTATAATATGGTATGATGCGATATACGGTCCATCCGAATGCTCTGCTTCTCTTCTCACGTAATGTAAAAGCAACCCCTAGGTATAGGTATGTAATGTAATATAAAAACAACAAAGTGAAGAGGGGTCTAAGACCAACCCCCCCCCCAATCAAGAATAGGCCTCTCCTAAAAGTCTTTTTTCTTCTACCAAGCCTCCCAAGCCCGCTTGAAAATGCAGAAACATAACTCTTTTCCTGAGGAGCGAGGGAATATAAAACGTCCAAGTCCGAACAAATACACGCTAGGTAATTTTCTTCGTGACGGAGCTACCCCTTTGGAGCTCCTGCAATCTATTTTTCCAGTAAAAAAAAATCACCCATGAAGCAGCGCGGCAATACTTCTCGGCTGGCTTGCTTTATCTTAATCCTAAGACGCTGGCAGGTCCCTTTGCTCCTGGAGGGGATGGCCGCTTCATTAATCGGGTTCGAGAACGTGTCAGCCCCTCCTGCATTCGGTCCCACGATTTGGCATATGGGTATCGTTTTGCGGAGTTAAAGCATAACTAGTGCCTTGAGCTCACGTCGCTCTGCCAAGATTCCGAGAAGGTGCTAAGGATGCCCTTACTACTTCTCTCCTCCTTATCTTTACTCTTCTCCTGTGCTGTCGATGAACCGGCCAGCTCCTTTTCCCTTTCCTTCTCCTTCCTTTTTTCCTTATCCTTCTTACCGCTTATTAAGCTGTGTAGAAAGCTGCGAGGATTCTTCCCATGCTTCGCCCGTATGGTGTTTGAAGTCGACATCTCTAAATTATCAGATACGTGACGAAGGACTCTGCCTTCTCTTCCAAAGCTCCGGAAACCCGAACGGTCACTACCATCCGGCTCGCTCCCAGACGAACCTGGGGGGTGGCACGAGTCATTGTCGAACCATGGCGTCGAATTGCCGTATGCTACGTTGACTGCATCCAAAAGAGTTGTCTTTTCCAAAGTCTCGGTTAGTTCGTCCGTAGCCACCGATTCGTTCTCAGATGCGCGAAGTGCTTCGACTCTAGCGAGGCACTCATCAGAACGTCTTTGAAGGTCCAAACATATTATGTGGAATTCTGCTAGTTCAGCGTCGAAATCCGCAGGGTCTGTAAATGTAGATTTGTGGCTAGACTCGAGCCAGAGTTTGACTAGCGCTGAAAAATTCCTAGGGTGGTCGATGAGGTACGGTAGAGAGGGGAAGCCCTCTCGAGATGTCGGAGATAGGCGACCGAGGATTGTGACAGGAGTAGAATACGAGGCAGGGACGGTGAAGATACTACGCTCAGTCGGTATCGAACACGTTTGGTCAATGTAATCTTTGAAAGGTTGCCTATGAATGGCTAAGAATCTGTTCATAGGCTCCATCCAGCTCTCTTTCTTGCCGAACGTGGACAAGTTCGCCAGAGCTTGAAGTCCTTTCGCTATAAGCGTTAGTGTTCGTTGGGCTCGACTTCGTGGATTGTCTCGTAAGAGCCCGAAGAGCTTAGGATTTAAGATTGCAGGACAGATAAACCGAAGAAACAAGAATCCCGATACACTTGTGTAGGTAACAGTACGAAGAAAGTCGCCGTACCGATCTTCCGCGACAGCTCGGACATACTTGAGGATTTGTCGGAGCTCAAACGGCAGTTTTATTGCAGAATCAGCGATACACTCCCACACCTCAGTCGTCAGCTGTACCAACAAACCCCAGTGTTGTTGCATCTCATCATTATGATGGATTCTGCTCGGATCTACCTCGCAATCCGGATTTAGCTCATTGATCTCAAAAATCTTGTCCGCCAAGATCTCCTCTAAGAATTCCTTTCCTAGCCGGCGCATATGGAACTCCAAAGCTTGAGTGAGCAGAGAGTTGCCCCGAAAGAGGAGATTGGCTTCCCCAGCTAAGGTTTTCATATCGCGGACAAGCAGGTCCCTGTCGCCCGCAGAGTTTGAAGAATCGGTTGATTTGAGTCGTCGGCTGAAGCGTAGTCTCTTCATATTGTTCTGGCTTCCAATTCCGTCTATCTCTTCTTCGACGAGAGCCATGAGCCATTCACTGGTACTTCCCGATACCTGGTAAATATTCAAGAGTAGCTCTGCGAGCTGACGCATGGAGGACGGTATAGCTAGGGCGATTTGGCTTGTCAGCCCAACGCTGAACTTGTGGAGAAGTTCAGATAACAGCTCATAATCCTTCGTTCCAAGGACGACCAGTTCATCATGATTAACTTTGACAAACATGCTCCCAATAGACTCCTGCTTCTCATCATAAACTTGAAACCATTGCTCATGATCCTTTGCACGTTCCAACTTTTCCAAGGGTATATCCACCGCTCCACATATAACTTCTGTCAAATTGCCTGTCTTAGGAAGACCTAAAGATGCTTGTAGCTGATTACTCAAACTATCCAAGTTTCCATCAAGTCGTTTTAGAATAATAGATAAATACGGTAGTGTCGTAGGTAATTCGGTAAACTGGGCAAACTCCCGCCAGAATGGGTTCTTCGTATCGGTCTGTGTTGTCGTGCGGGATCGAATTTCGCCATCTAATATCACCTCGGCAAGGTAATTCCCAGTTAACGGATCTCGTTCTTTAGAATGGCGGTCGTGATGCTCTGGACCCGGAGTAGCTTTTCTTATTTTTGCTTCGGTAACTCTGATTTGAACGGTTTTCTCTAGGCGAAATAGCTGTCCTTCAAATTCTTTCTCGAAGTCTCGTATTTCAACCACCTGTTCTGTAGATGCTTCAAGACCGTATAGATCAGGCACAGCAAACGCTCGTAAGAGTACAAACCAGACCTCGAAGAGAACCCTAGAATCTAGAGCGAGATATACAGGTCGGAATATCGAAAGCTGCTTGGAAGTAGATGAGTAGATCGGGAAGATTGCTATGCAATATTCTTCGTCCAAGACAGACCTATCTAGTTGTTGTATAGCACAACGGGAGAGCTGTGGCAGCTCGATGATAGAAAGTACTGCTACGTCATTCTCTGTCATCAGTTTGAATTCGCCATTATCTTGTAGGATGCAAGACACTCTCCTCCACGACGTCGAACCTGAACGGAGATCTCGAGTAGATGGTCGTTTCACGATTGCACGCGGTGACGTTGCGGTGCCTTTGTCCCACAGCATCACCTTACCAACCTTGATGATAGCCGCATCTTTCGAGGACGAGCCACCTACGGCTAGAGATCCTCGCCTCTTCATATCCGGTCGAACGGACCCGGGTGAACTGGCGCTTCTGCCGTTGGCGAATCTTACTGTGGTGGGGCGAAGCTGTTGCCAGCAGAGTAGACTAGCGAGCCACAAGTCGAATTCCGCGGGTGGAAGAGGCCGTAAGAAAAGCTCGACACCCATCTTATTGTTTAAAATTTCTAGGCTCTTTCCTTTGTTATCTAGACCGTCAACGGGCACAACCCTGCACCCTCGAAGGTCAGTAACTAAAGGAATAGGAAACTGTCCGTTCTGGCCCGAATCAAAATATAAGCTGCCTCTATCTTCATCAACCCAAGCCGTTCCGCTGTACCAGGGGCCGTTTGTCTCGGCCTGGTACTCGATTTCACCTCTCATGCGACCGGCCAAAGTTTTCATCAGTAAGAGAATTTTGTTCGCATCGTTCGTAGGGATCGGGAGTGACAGTGAATCAACGGAGGGTGGCGGTGATACCAGAGGAGAAGTAGGACGAGAAGAGTCCCGTTTTATTAGGCGCCGGTTAGAAGACTTTTTCTCCTTGCTTGATGATAGGGTAATTTTCAAATCTGGGGGCCTAGTTGGTGCGACCGACGGATAGCCAACAGACTCAAGCACGGTCGGCGGGGGACGAACTTCGATATCTACAACTGCTTGAGAGCCTGATGACGAGAAAGATCCTGGTCGATGCCTGCTATCGGTTGTGGAAGGAGATGCGGTTTCTTGTCGCAGTGCTACCGCACCATCCATGGTATGCGTGCGTGGTCTGAGGGCTGCCTTTTGATTTTGCGACGGCAGACTAGAGGAGGTACTATCCAAAGAATCGTCATATGCTTCGTTAAACACAACACCCCGTCTTCTCCTTTCTCCGCCGGGTATAGATCTGGGTGAAGCGCTACCAGATTCCTGGGTCGCCTGTGCAATGCTTCTCGTGTCCGCAGCCTCGTCATTCTCGCATAGCTCAGGCGTAGCCGTCCGAATACTATTGTCCTGCATGTTGGCATAAGATTCTAAACTTGTACGCACATTACTACTGGCAGTCCATTCCGCACTTGGTGGTAACGTATCTCCCACGGTAGCTAGCGCCCAGTCTGCAAGGTTGTCGATGTGGTGGTCGCTTTGAGTATCTCCTCCTCTCTCTAGCGGTGGAGAGATACCACGAAGGTGTTGTTTCGAAGGCATAAAGATTGAGAAATTGCAGCATTGAACGCCGGACAGGTGCCGCGCAGGTGGAAAGGATTAATGTCGTGCCTTGCAGTTACGTGTATGATTGTCGCAGCCATCCACCTCTTTCAACAGCAGAATGACGCGAGCCTGATTTGCATAGAAATGTCGTCTGTCATAAATCGCTAACGGATGGTATTTCGTTCACAAGCTGCCATCGGGGGATGGACATTCTAGATGGGTAATGTGGTTTTCGAAAAGCTATGTATGTCGGCAGGTGGATCGGCGCATGGTAAGGCAAATTACGCAAATTCGAGTCGAGTATCTGTGACGTGGATTTTGCAACAAATTCGCTAGGTGAATGTTTTCCTGCAGATATTATC